ATACAAATATCTATAAATGTATAATATGTAAAATTAAAACGTAACTCTCCTATGTGAAGTGTATCGGTGAAGGCGGGCCGGCGGGCGATTGTTTAAAATTCATCGCGGAATCGTTTCGCACCATCGGCTTGTGTAACGACCTGTCCTATGATTTGTTGCTGCAGTATATTACAAATGTACACTTCATTGAGGTAAGCTTGTGCGCAGACAAGCCAATTTCCCCTCTCTCTACATTTATCTGATTCAGTCCTGACCCGAGATGTGTAGTTCTGTGATGACGCCCAACATCCGCAGATGTAGAGTAAACTATTACATTCTCTATGCTCTTTGGTATAAATAAGAATTTCGGATATCTAATTCTCTATGTCATAGTTTCAAAGCAGCTATCACTAATGTAATAACATAGAATCTTTTCCAAAGTAAATCGAATCAAGCAAATTGACGTTTGTAAATATGTAACCCAGGGCGGGCAGGGCCGAGGGCTGGGGGCGCGGGGCGCGGGGCGCGGGGCGGACGGCGGAGCCGCTCTTCGAATAATTCAACTAAATCGTTTGAATGTTTTCAAAGCTCCTCGAGATTGCTTTCACCCTCGTCTTGTATCTAAAACTTGTATCTAAACGAAGCTATAACAAAGAGATGGCGCTTCTCGGACGTATCTTGTGACGTCGGCTGCTGCTGTACGCCGTGTGGTGCTTTTTAAAGGTTTAGCTCATTTCGCTTGAGTCGTAGTAGTTGTTAGAATACACCGATATAATATATCCCCGGAAAATATGCGTTGGCTTTTTATCTGTAAAAATGTTGGATGGAAAGTTTACTATCGTTATTTATACAACTTCTATTTCCCGTAGCTAAGAGAATTTTTAAGCAATTCTTACGTCATATATAAAATTACTAGCCAAAATGACCTCAAACTAAATGTACGGTACAGTACTTTACCGTACCATACAGACATGACACAAAAGTAAGTAATATGACAATTTGATTAATATATTTTGGAGACTTCATTCCTTGTGTGGATATCCGTTATTCATACAGATGCTTGTTGATTTTCAGTTACAAAACATGGACTATAATAATAAAACAACAGACCTAGAAAAAAAAGAAACGAAGCAGAATATGTAAAGAGGGCTCAGAGTATTAGTTCCTAAACCCTTGTCGACCCTCGCCCGAATAATACTTCTTTTATATTGCCTTTACTACAAGCCTTTAGCCCTTTAGAGATACTCTCTTGTGGTTTATTGATGGCTCCGAATTGTTTACACAATTTTTTTTGTAAACTTGAATTCGGAGAGAGCAAAGCTCAGCGCCATAACAATGTTGAAGAGAGTCCCCAATCTAATACATATAAGGTAATGATAAAAACCGCTCTGTAATGTTAATGTTTAACAACTAGTGTATATAATACATAATAATGCAGTTTAAATACATCTTAGTAAAGCTATTTGAACGATATGCTTTTAGCTCAGGCCACGGTATCGTGCACGTTATTGTTCTAGCAATGAGGCATTGTCCGACATTGCAGTCACTTTCCATTGATACAGAATACAACAAAAAACATTTGCTTGAAAGCTTCAGTCAGCTTCACTTTAAACCCTGAACAGCTTTACATTTTTCTTTTAACAACTTTTAACATTGAATGCCTAGAAAACGTCGCAAATGGCTCGAATTATACCTTTTTAAAATTTACATATTTATATTTATGTTTTAAAATATTTTGCCCGCAATTTCATCTGCGAAGAATTAAAAAATAAAATGTTAAATCTAGCGATATTACTTCTTGATAATATAGCTTTCTAATAGTAAAAACCCGAAAATCGGTCAAGTAGTTTTTGAAATTATTTGTTACACAATGTTAATTTTATGTTATGTTAATTTTAAACAATAATGTTATATTTTAACTATGTCGTATGATTACAGTTATCTTTCTAAAGATGAAGGTATACCAGTGCCACTCATCCTGATGAAGGGCACCCGATGGGCTCGAAACTAGTCGGTGCCGCCACTTGACGAATATACGTGAGTGTTTAGCCGTGTTTATATATCAGTTTAGTATAATGTCTCACGAAAGTTTGAATAATTTAATGTACTATCAGTAGAAAATCATGGCATTTTAGATTGGTACAATAAACTCACAAGCACATTTTTTTTATTTCTACCGCCATCTATTGTCTTACATATAAATTTCTCGCGGGACAACTAGCATTCAAATTAATTTGACAGAACATTGAAGTTAAGATAAGCGCCATCTAGTGAAATTACGAAAGCGATCTAATTTCACTAGATGGCGCTTATGAAAATACAGCACACGTATTTGTTTATTACATCATTTACAAGCTTATATTTTAGACATGTTTTAATTCATTTTTGGTATTTTAATATGTTTTCTGAAGTGGCATTCTCCTACAACATGTTGACGATTTACTTTTGTTACGTGGAATTTTCAAAATTTTTTGTAGTTTTTCAGGACTAGAAATGAAACAAAATCAAATAATTTCCACATTTATTTGTTAGAGAATAAATTAATTGATGATTTCTAATAAAAAAAAATGATTATTTGCAGCTAAAACATACAGACCAAACATCAGTAATAATTTAAAGCACATAATATTCGCAAAACATCCTTTCATTTTCCTTTACAAGGTTTTTTGGAGGATGACGGAAAATACAAAAGTGATTTTAAGAAGCAAGGAACTTAAAAAACATGAGAAAGGATTTATATAAATGTGGTTTGCAATTCATAAACTTGTGCTTTTTATAAGTATACCTATTTTAATACTTATTTTTTCACATCACTCGTTCAGAACTTAAATTAATACTCTATATTTCAAATATTAATAAAGAAACGACATCAAACGTCAAAATATTATTAGAAAATCAATGTATACAACTGAACTTGATATTTTGGGTGGTGATGCCGCGGCACTGAGGGCAAGGGAGGCTTTACAGATGCGCGGATCCTCTGTCCGCTGCTGCGCTCTACTTAATTTATAAACAAGCAATATATGCCACAGCAAGCGGCTTTCCAAGGCTGATATGTTATGCTTACCAAACGACAACGGATTCTAGCTCTACTGACAGAAGCGCAAATATAATATTAACCTACAATAAAGGTTACATTATCTAAGGCAGTGGTCAACAGACAGCTTCGTACCGCGACGGACGCGCGCCTTACACGCAGAACATATCTACTGCAAACTGCGCGTCGATATGTTTCCACAACAATAATATAAATATCAGATTAGTAATTAATTATAATAATTATGAAAAGAATTCACCATTTTTTGATAATTGGGATCTAATTTGGATTATGTAAATAACAATTGTTGATTACATTATTCAATGTATTTATTGATGTGGAATGTTCTTCGGATTATCATAGAGAATTACTATTTATACAGAGAGGGGGGACTTGCTACTCGTACATACATACATACACACTACATCGCTACCAATCTGTATCTGCGGGGAAGCGCGTCGCGTCTCGCACCACGCAGTGTGTTCAGTTCCAAGTGAAACAGCAGCGGCTGTACAATATCTTTTAGACTAGACCGAGTAACTAAATACATTATGACTGACATATAATAAGCACAACTGTAGCCGTCACATGCGAGTGCACTCCTCGTCAAAGAACGCAAATTTTCAATTAAATGTAACGCATCTTAGGAAAAACCACATAACTGTGCACTGTCCAATATTTGCTGTTTTGAATTTGTAAAACGAGTGCTGTTTACAAAATCTATGCACCATTGCGTGACGGCTCCTAAATAAAAAACTAGATATTATTATTATATGACACAAAACATCTAATGTTAAAGTACAATCCATATGATACACGTTTTCTTATTGTACGCATCCTATATGGATATTTATCACATTCTTTTGATTACATACACATCGGCGTCGTCTGCGTCGGCCACGGCGTCGGGATACATTTCTTTGCTTTTATTATAATATTCCACATAAAACACCGAAAGAGTCAAAAGGCAGGAGACAGGAGTCAGAAGGCGGGAGGAGGATAGCAGAGTCAGGTGGCGGGATGCATGAGGCAGAAAACAGAACAAAGAAACATTTCCGCCGAGCACGTCCCACAATAAACAGGAATAATAAGATAAAATAATTTAGTGACTTCACAATGATACACTACATGCACGCATCTCACATAATATATAATATATATATGTAGCTACGAGCAGTTAATAACATTTACTACGTTTATTTGATGATATCTTCAAGCAAACTTTGTTTTCTTGTTTGACTTATGTTAGTATCAAATTGTTAATAGTTAGGATTTGTTGCGATAAGAACTGGCTGAATAATTTTAATTTGTTTCTTTCAAACAAACCAACAATCAGATATTTCACAAGATAGACTCAGAAATATGGCTTTGCCAAATTCATAAAACCTTCTTATTATTCAAATTTTAAACAATTGTTACCTACAGTGCTACCTTTTTACATACATAATACATCTCGCTGATGCCGCCCGCTGCTCTCTGCGTTACCTCTACCCGAGCAACAACTGCGACCTGAGCGCACTGAGCGCACTGAGCGCACTGAGCGACCTGAGCGCACTGAGCGCACTGAGCGCACTCCGCGGCCGGAGGACGTCTCCCCGCGCTCCAGCGAACAGGAGGCGATACATCACCAAAGTTTCTGACTAATACTAAAACTTACAGCATTGGGTGTCAAAATGTCTAACACTATTACATACCGGAGCGACTACTTCACTGACACAAACGAGGCGCAACACTCACAATTCTTGTTTGTTCGTTTATTTTATAATAATATATAACTAGAATTTCGACTAAAAGCTTGTGTCTATCTTGTGTCCGGCGCTGGAGCGCTGGAGTGCTGGAGTGTTGGAGTGCTGGAGTGCAGCAGCGCGCGCCGCCATTTTCCTGCGACGATGCACTCTCAGAACTTCTTCTATTCTTATTTTAAACAAAATTGTTGCAACATAATATTATGTTGTGAGACACAGCCGCGTTCGCCGGCCGCACTTCACACGTCGAGCGGAGCGCGATGCTGGTGCGCGGGGCGCGCGGGGTGCGCGGGGTGCGTGGGGTGCGCGGGGTGCGCGGGGTGCGCGGGGTGTGCGGCGCGGGGTGCGGGCGCAAGGCGCTCGAGGGGCTCGAGGTCGGGGCGCGGGGCGCGGGGCGCGCGGGGCAGACGCAGCGGCACGGGCAGCAGCTCCGGCATCACGCTGTGGTGCGTCACCAGCGCCGACAGCGAAGCGAACTCCTTCGTGAAGCCCTGCGCATCCGACACCGCGGTCACTCCACACTCTCACCGCGCGGCAACTCGCTCCGAGGTTGAAGCGACGCAAATAAAAATGGATAGAATATCGGACCGACCTTTATCTTGTAGCCCTTGGGCGTGCGCAGGATGAGGTAGTGCGCGATGCCGTGGTGCGCGAAGTCCCGCGGCACGCGCAGCGACAGCGCCAGGCAGCCGCGCTGCGTGGTGGACGCGCGCACCAGGAACGCGCCGACGCCCTGCGCGCCCAGCACCTCCAGCGCTATCTGCACGCACACACGGACCGCACGTTACACCCGGTCGAAGGCGAGGCGACATGAAAGCGTGCCGTGTCGATTGCGAGCGCGGAGACCTCTCGGGGGATGCCCTGCTGGAACCAGGGCGCGTGGCGCAGCTCGGGCTCGGGGCGCGGGGGGCCGGGCGCGGGGTCGGCGGGCGAGGCGCCGCACGAGGAGGCGCCCGACGACGACGAGGCGCCGCCGCTGCCGGTCGCCGGGCTGCAACACGTCGCATACGACTATACAAATAACCACTCGAGCCGGGATCCGCGCCGGGTATATCGGTTCCACATTTACCTGTTGATCGTGTTAGACTTGTTGAAGTCGAAGTCTGCGTGTCTGTGCGCGGGCGAGCCGGCGGGGGAGCGCGGCGGCGGGACGGGGCGGGCGCCCCGCGCGCGCGCCTCCGCCTCCGAAGCCTCGTTGATGTACCCGCCGCCGCTCAGACACAGCGGCACGTTGGTGGGCCTGCGACGATCGCGCCACGTTTAATATCCACGAATGTATACTTTATACAACAAACGGCAAAAGTGATTCAAACGACATTTAAACATTCCTATCTCTAAGACTCCCCGTCCCTCCGTTTTTCCTATTTTTGTGGATACGCGTAAAAAGAAAAGGGCTAATTATCTGTGCGGATGTGCGGGGGTTTGGGGCACTCACGTTGTGGGCGTGTCGGCGACCAGCGGCGTGGAGTCGTCGTCGGAGGGCTGCAGCAGCGTGAGGCCGCGCGCCAGCCTGCGCATCAGCGGCGGGCGCTCGCCGAGCCGTTCGCCGAGCCGCTCGCCGAGCCGCCGGTAGCAGCTCAGCTCGGTGGGCGAGGATTCCTCCGAGCTGCTCGGGCTCGCCTCCGGTGGCTCGCTCGCTCCGCCCATCGCTGAGCATTGCGCCGACGTCCTGCGAATTAGTTAAATATTTTGACTTTTAGATAATGGTTATTTCCTCACTCACAAGCGGTATGTATAGTTAAAAGTCACCGGCTTTTCTTACCAATATTTAGGAAATTGACGACTTCGTTAGTTATAATATAGTCGCAGTTTTGGTGGTGCTGGATTTATTAGATAAAGAAAGAGGAAAAGGATAAAACAAAAAGGTCTAGTAACACTACTCAATTATCGTGTCACCTGTCGAGGCAGTGCTGGCCGGAGCCGGGGCAGAGACGCGCGAGACCCGGCAGTGAGTCAGGCGCGCGCGCACACGCCCCGCCGCCGCCGCCGCCGCCGCCGCTTACCTCCTTATTCTGCAACAGCAAACACATTCATATTATGAACTGTGAAGTAACAAACAGTAAATGAAAGTGTTATTTGAAAACATTTCTTATTACAAGTCCTCGCATGTCACCTTGTCACCTTGTCACCCTTGTCACATGTCTTTGTCTAATATTCGATAATCGAAATCGCTTTTATTCCTAATTTTGGCCAAAACTTTATTTAATATCGCTTAGTTAATATAACAAAGATTTCACTAACGCTCATTGAAAAGTATGAGAGAAATACATAATGTCAGAAACAATAGAAGCATTGTTAACTCCGAAATGAACATTGTTTTGTTACAAGATTTTCTTTGTTATGAAAAGCTCGGCCGCCTTGATAACTATACCACTGAAAATTTATACGCGAGAAATGCAACGTTGAAGTTGTGATCGCGGGCGGTGCGGGGAAAGTGTGTCGCGTTGAGAGACCACTGCCTTTTGTACTTTCGCCAATATTGGCAACGTAGGAATGCAATTACTTTTTATATTTTAAAAATAAATTTTAAGGCATCAATAAAGTTTTCATCTTATTTATATTGAGCGTCCACGCATCGTTGTATTCTCGTACCTCAACTTTTACTGCTGACTTCTGCACCGCGAGACATCTCTTTTTTTACTAAGTTTACAAACACAATAAGCAGTGAAGTTAATTAGAGTTTTGAAAGTGTTGCTAATGAAGCCGCGAGCGCTGAGCTGTGCGTGCACGCGCGCCCCAATATCATCCAATTGTTGTACTTTTTAATCAACATAATCTGTCCTGCACCGGATTAAGGTTGAAATTAATGCAATATAAGATGTTTAGTCTGAAAACAAGTGTTTTAATATTAGCGAGATGGGGGCCGAGGGGGCCGAGGGGTAGCCGAGCGGGGGTCGGGACAATTCGTAACGGAATGTGACAGCGACTGATTTATATAGTTGTTTAGCGCGGGCGTCCGGTCCGCCGAGAGACGTGACCCGCTCGTTGTTTGGGAGGGAAGGAGACGCGCTTGATATATTTGACTTTTTAATTGTTTCTAAATAAAGTTACTAACTTGTTTTTACAAGCTTGTCAACATCTGGAAATTTTAAAAAGTGGCGATATACAATAGTCACTCATTTTCGTAAAGTCAAGGATGTTTTCAAATAAAGTATTGCATGTTGGCGTTACATGCTATCTCTCACACTCGGTGCACGTGTATGAAACTGCATCTACGGCAATGTGCACTACTTCTGCGCCATTTCATGTATAACCGAGACCGGAAGGAGTGGAGGCACTACCGGAGTGCCTCGCAGCTCCTTCACAAAGCAAGTAGGCCGCAGCCCCCCGCCTCGCACCGCGCTGCGCTGCCTACGGGGAGCCCGTTTAGGGAATGTCCCACATAGACCTTTGTTAAAGAGACCTAAATACTTGTACCAAGAAGCTAAATAAGAAGGAGCAACGATGTAAGCCTCTTTGTGAAAAATTTGCCTTTCATTAATCTATTCATACAATTAATATAATTCGAGTGTATGTCTGTGTATATAATATCGAAACATAATAAAAACGAAACTTAATTTACGAACATAATATATTTGCAATGCTTATAACTAAAAAAACAATTATTACATTTTTTGTCTGTCTGTCCGCAAAACCATGTTTGTTCCGGGTAGCCTCCGAAAAGACTGGACCGATTTTGACTGGACTTGGACATGAAGGTAATGTTCGCGGGAGTGTCTTCCGGACGAAAACGCGACCTAACAATAGTTGCTAGAATATAAAAAGCTGTGCTCTGTGGAAGACAATTGAAAAAATGTAAGGTTTGCATGCGTTCAATGAAGTGGAGCAGGCTTACAAGTAACATACGCAGTCATCGGTGCCTCTGCCACTGTTGTAATAAGTAAAGCCTTCGTGAACAACGTTACATATAATAAGGATCACTGCAAAGTAACCGCAAATTCTCTTTCCAAGGAAATCCCCTTATGTAAATACAAGGTCGTTATGTTTATTTACGCGACAGACGATCGCTGGGAGCCATTACTAATGTCGACATGGGTCTCTAGCGAGGCTCGCGTGCCGAGGGCGAGCATCTATACCACTCACAATATCACAGTTCCGCGCCCTCGCCTAATTCCATTGAAACAAATCGTCAAGGCTGTTACACCAGTTATAAAGCTAGCCAATAATGTAATGCAAACATCTCGCCCGTGTGTTTCTATCGTCAGAGAAACTGCTGTAAGACACAAGAGAGTCGTTTTGTAAGTTTAATTAAATACGAGCAGCAAATGTTCCGCCTCAAACCCGCCCCCTCACCACCCCCTCTCCCTCCGGCAGCAGTACGACTGTTGTGTTATATATATTGTATAGTATAAATTACGTCCTTGTTGTGACGATAATGTCTCGATGAGCATTTCGTCGATGTCGGCTATGCGCGTCAATTGGAAAATCATAATCTCTGTCTATACCCCTGAGCTACTGCGTGAATATATTTATTGATTAATTGCAACCATCAGTTTATTACATCATTTACCCTAAGTAAGTACAAAGTTATGTGTTTAACCAAAAAAATAAAAAGTACCATAGTACGATTGAATCTATCGAAGAAAAATATTTGTCTGACTTTTATTATCAGGTTTTATAGAGGCGGGTGGTAGAAGGTGGTGAGGTGGGGATAGAGCCCCCCCCCCCCTGCTAGGGGGTAGCTAGCGGCACGTTTCCTATCAGCGGATAAGCTGCAGGATTTCTTTTCGCTCAGTAACAGTTAGCACTAGGCCACGAGGTCAGCTCTCCAGAAGGTCCAAAGCTTGTTAGCTACACCATACTCAGTTAATGTTTTAAAAAACTGAACCACTGACAATTAAGATTTAATTCGGCTCATGTCGCATTCGTAAATAATTTAATTTTATTCAAAATGTTAGTAAACTGCTTACATCTACAAGAGTGCTTTTGTAAGCTAACGAATAAATAAGCAAAAAACCTATGAAAAGCGAAGGGAAATATTTGCACTAGAAACGTAAAATTAAGTAGGAATGCGGCTCTCAGTGCACCGGCCGAGTGGTCATCGGATAGCCATTTGAATAACTTGATTATATCGGAGACGTGGCCGAGACCGATAGCGGATTGCGGATACGACTTTATCATTGTATTTGCAAATACGACGTAAATAACTGGATACATTCCGTTAAATTTGACAGATATAGGTAGATTTTTACTTTTAGAGACTTTTGTTACAGACTTCAAAATAAATAAATCAACAACATTTTTCTAAATAATACCGAAAGTATTAAATAATAATACTTGTCTTTTTTTAGTTTCATGTAATAAAGTTTTATTCTCCCGTCGAGTGTATACCTTTATTTTTAACTAAAACGGAAACTGACTAAAATAATAAATTAAAAATCGGTATCGTCCTCTGTCCGTGGTATGTCGCCCACTCCCCCCTCGTCCGCGCCACAAAGCTCGCGTGTCGTACCGTGCCGAATGGTGGATTTGATTCGGCATCGGCTTGGTTACTGGGTTCAGTCACGCCACAGCCTAGCCGCCAACAGCCGGGAGACACGCGTGCAGCCGACGTGACCTAACGGCGCGTCTGACCTTTTTCCGACAATGATAATTTTCGTCCCCTCCGTAAATTACGATCTCTAGATTAATTCGTGGGTTAACTTGCGGCTACGATTGTCACAAACATCTTTGTACGAATTTTTATTCGTGCGTCCTTGAAGCAACGCATCATCATCATTACCTCATATCAGGATCATTATCAGTCCTACAAAACTTTTATTATGTATATTGACTTGTGCTACAAATACAAGTAATACGTGAAGAAGCGGCGGCCTATCCGCTTTCTAGTCCAGTCGCATCGGCGCGTCGCATCACGCTGCTAGAACAACAGAGCACATCAGTTGATACTAACATCATAATATAACTTTACCTCCATCATGTACCCGTATGTATCTGGACCCCAAGTTCTCTGTACTGGTAGCTTTATCTCAAAAAATATCAAGTTCCAACAGATAATGGAAAAAATCTTCACAAACATTGACTACAGATGTTCCTCTCCGCTTCTTTCAACATCAAACCCAACGTTAAACAGCGGAAGTGCTGTCACAATCTGTGATGAGCCGCTCTGCTCTTGTAAAACATGTCATCGTCGCAGCGCGACAATAAAC